GCATCAAAGTACAAGAGCTTCTTCTTGCACCATGAAAGCGGTGCCTCTCAGATATAATGTTGCATTTCCCTGTGGCTAGATGAGGCCATGTTTTTCATGGCGATGTGGTGAGGAGGATCTCTTCCTGAAACATAGCCACAAAAAAGCAGAATCTCTTGATTGAAGCTAGCTGGCGTGGCTTCCTCTCCATCTGTGACTGACACTGAACCAGAACCGGATTTTGGGGAACAGGGGCACATGAACACCTGTTTGCCTTCAGCCGCATTACACTGTCATGTTTTATGTAGGAGCCTGATGCATTATTCATGTGCTGGAGGGAGAGGCGGGACTGCTCAGGTACATATGCTGGGGGTTATAAATGTCCAGCCATAAAAATGTGTTGCCCTTATTTCACTTGAGACACAGAAGAGAGAGAGGGCCTTGGGTAGCTCTTTCAGGGGCATTTCTCACCCACAGCTCAATCATGAATAATGAGGTGTTGGACATCTCCATCACACCTTAGCACAACAACAGATGCTGAGTCTAAACTTAAATGAGTCTGGGGAGCATAGCTCAAACCATCACAGCATCTACAAGATAAAATTTGTTATATTATTAAAGCTTGCTGGCAGGGCAAGATTACCAAATGGGCCCTGGGGCCCTAGAATTCCAGGGACCCCAAATGGCGAGACACTCCCCGTCCTATTTGCCTCATGTACCTGCACTAGACCCTGATTTGTAATGAAGAGCTTTAATCTAAGACTGCCAACCACACCTCTGGAAGAGCACTTCCATTTTTATTTTATGATGACATAGGAGTTGACCCTCTTGAAAATAAAACAAGACCAAAAAACTACCCAATGAAGCACCACATCCTATTAAAAGGGATACAACACCAAAAAAAAAAAAAAAAATTCTCTCATCATTTACTCACCTTCATGTCGTCCCAGATATATATAACTTTCTTTCTTCTGTGGAGCACAAACTGAGATTTTTTGAAAAAAATTCTCCATCTCTGTGAGTCCATATTATGTAACTTAAAGTTGAAGCTTCAAAAACCACGCAAAACAAACAATAATCCATACGACCCCAGTTGATGAATAAATGTCTTCTGAAGCGAAACGATTGGTGTGTGTGAGAAAAATACTGTTATTTTAAACTTTTAAAAAATATGCATCTTTCCCACCCGCCAACTTTTGTTCTTCTGTGGAACATGAACACAGATTTTTAGAAAAAAAAAAGATTGATCTCTCTAAGTCCATAAGTGACAAAAATGTTTTTCAAATAATTCAACATGGCTTTGGTATAATAACTCTGGGTGGGTTCCAATTTTATTTAGAATTGGTTAATATATAGATAAATCAAGTAAACACAAACTTAAGGACATTACTGAAGGAATCCCTACATTTATTTTTCTGTCTTCTTAAGTTGTGAGTAGTGTTGTTTTTGGCGGCATGTTTTAATTTTAGTTTTAGTCTATGTGAGATTTGATTTTGTGTAATAACCAGCACCAAAGCAAACAGCATTTTTCGAAAGAAATCGATTGAGCACATTCAGACAGTCAGCAGGATTACAGCCTCACAATGAGATTCATTGCAAATTGGTCCAAACGATTATAAATGCCAACTTAAACTGATTCACTCTCCCTGTGTTTCTATGATTTGTTGTGTATGTGAGTGTGTGTGTGCAGAATGCCTCTCAAACGGCTTATAAACAATCAAGTGCGACCTTTGCGAGAGGAGGCGGGCAAATAACGGATAGAATGTGCTAATTCAATTAAGCAAATTGAATAATTGCCTCGGTCAGTGTTCTGGATTGAGCCTATAGCTCAAACGTCCTTGAGATAAATTAAAAGCCAGAATAATTATAAAGCTGGAAGGGGGAGGAGTTCACTGTAGAACAAAACAATGAATCTAGCATTTCTCATGGAATGAAATACCCTATTAGCAAATTTAGCTTATTAGCACACATGCTGTGGCTAAGCACGCAACATTTGTTACGGATTGCTGTGGAGGGTGTCACAGAAGTATTGTGGTCTTCATAAATAGGTGTTGAGTTGGCTGAAGATGGTGCCCTGGAAGCTGAGGTGTCCGTTGGAGCTTAGCTGAGCGTTCTGTTGTGTTGCTCGGCTAGCGTGATGAATACGCTGCCGTATTCACCTTCTATTCTCTCCGATTTCAGCGTAACACAATAGAAGGATTTATGAACACGGACAAAAAAAAAACTGCAGAAAGCTTCTGGCTCGAACAACACGCTTTAAAGCCTGCAGCTGAAATCTAGGTTACGGACTGAGTCCACCATTTTTAACTGCACACACAATGTTCTCATTTTTGGTCTCACTGTCCCTGCCTGTCTGTCTACCTGATTAATTTAGGCTGTCTGTCTGTTGGACTGAGTCGGATTTGAGTTATTAAAGGCTGTTCCATGTGCTCTTTCTCCCGCAAGCATGCAGGGGCAACTATTCCCTCTAATTAGAATTACTCTCATGCAGGGTTGTGCTTTCTCTGGCCACAAACACCCAGTAGCCCCTCACTGCAGAACACAAGATCAAGGGGCCGTGGTTGGATCCACATCTAGGGGGTGGAGATTGGTAGGTTTAGGGATCAGGGGGTGGAGACGGGTAGGTTTAGGTATATGTAAGGTGGGAGGAGTTGGATCTGGATCCAACCTGTTCTGCTCTGTAGTTTGCCAGTTTTTGGCATTGTATGGTGTGTCACTATGTTTCTGGATGTCAAACAGAGAAAAGACATCATGCCCACTTACAATTTGGATGGTTAATGTCGGAAAAGAGAGAATGAGAGTTTGACGCGTGATACATGAATGTGTTTGTGCATGTGTCTGTGTACATGTGTATGGCAAAAGAAGAAGACAGTGATGAAAATACAAGCAGAACTGATTGCATGCTCTGGGGATCATGTTCCAGTTTGATCCTGTGCTGCATGCTAGTGTTGGCTAAACAGGTGCATTGCTGCCACCTAGAGGCTACGTTCGAAATATGCATACTACTTTAGCCTGTTCTGGAATACATGTAGACTAGGTAAACACATTTTTTGCATCCATAAAATACAGATGACCTACTTCATTTGCCATAATGTGCAGTATTCCAAAATGCACACCACACAGACTCTCAATGCAATGCATTTCACTTGACCTTCTGTGCCAAAAAATAGCTATAAATAATTACAGCCAAGATAATTTTTTTTACATCTTTGTTTACTCATTACTTGTCCTAATTCATATTTTTGCATTGTTTTAACTTACTGCACTGGCCATTTTTTCCTTGTCTAAAAAAATGATTATTTGATAAATGTAGTGAGGAAAAAGAAATAAAGATTTGTAAAGATTTTTTTTGAAGTGCATAATTTTAACAAACAATAATTCTCCATTGTTCCGGAACAAAAGAGCTTGATTATGCTTCATTAGGAATGGATAATTAAGGATGAATTAGTCAAGCTTAATTATGGATACAATAGATTTACACATAAATATGCACACACTAAAACCTTGTCACCTTGCAAGACATTTTTTTTATATTGAATGATTTATTAATGTGTTATCGTAAGAACATAAACGTTTCACTTATGAACGATCATTGCTTTAATATTACAAGCCTACAAGGCTGTGGCACTCACTGTAACTGCCGTGACCCTACACAGAATCGTCTCGCAAGCTCAAGAGACCATTTGAGGGATGAAATTGAATTTGCCTCTATGATTAGAAATGTCAGAGTGATGAAACGGCATACAACTGCCGGAGGTTAAACATGGGAGACATCATTAAAGAAACAGACGCCAGCTTATTCTTCATTAATGGAGACAGAAAAAGAGAGGGAGAAGTAAGAGAGAGAGAGAGAGTTAGAGGAGAAGGATTGCTATGTATGCTTTGCCATGTTTGAGAGGCTGCTGGGCTAATTTGACATTTGAACATTTACTGCACCTCATTACAACTGCTCACAGCTTATTAACCTGTCTGCTGACTGGATAGATGGACCACACATTCCTCATTGTCATTCTACTATCATTCACTCACCCAAAACCACTTTTACTGAAGTATTTTCCTGAATCAGCATCCTTTGTTGTTCCTGAGGGCAATATTTCTATTTAGCCAATCTCAGCCCTTCCTGTAACCCCACCCCCAAAATTAGAAAGCAATGATTGGTTGCGTGTTCCAAATGTGTTGGTCCAGGAACTGTAACTAACACAAATAGTAACGTATCATACTTGTTTCCGGCTCATTTAATGGTTCTTTATACATACTGTATAACAACACCTAAAAGCACTATACCTTCAAAATGATTAACAGCACACAACCTGCAAAAACCTGAAAACACCCCACTGATAGAATGGGTGTGTCCAAAACAGAAGATAGTCCAAATTTCCAGTTTCACTAAAAAATACATCAACATACAGTAGGAAAGAAAACTGCAATTGTCAAGTGAATTTATGAGGTCTTTTTAAGGTTTCAGTCCTTATACCATTACCTTCAACCACTTCATCAGGTCCTTTTTTTCTTTCAACCCATCACATAAATATCGGATATTATACTGTAGCCAACAAAAGCTACATGGATTATTAATAATGCACCAATGTTTTTGAAAAAGAAACATCTAAACTGAATATGACTGTTTCAAATCCAACCATAGTCGATATTAATAAGATATAGAATACTGTAATATAGGAACTTGCATCTGCACAAAAGGACGCAAATGCACAAGTGAACTTGACCGTGCTGGTCAGAATGTGTACCGTAACAACAGGCTAGAAAAATGGTGTTCTCATTTTAATGTTATGTATGTGACAGTTTAACAAAGTTAAAGTTATGATTACTCAAAATTTATGACAATATTGTTATCGTGCATTCTATTGCCGACAATAATCATTGTGAAGTTCTCGATTTTGGACGCAGCCAATAATCAGACACATAGCACAGCCCGTGTAATTAGATTTTCTTAATGATGAGGCAACACCAAAAATCTACTTGATATTACAATCAGCAAAATAAAGCGTAATTGGATTACTCACGGTCATTGCACTGGGTGCCAGAGTAAGAGGTCATGGAGCAGTCGCAGGTGAAGTTCTCCCACTGCTGGATGCATACACCCATGTTGACACATGAATCCTCCTGGCATGTACTGCTGGGCCCTGATATGGAGGAGACAGGAATATCATGTGTCAATCAATAGTAATGACAGATTTCAGAAGGCATCTCTGTCACAGACAGCACAGCAAGACTAGCGTGCATGCAAGGCCATGCAAGGCCACGCTGAACACTGCTAGAAGAAAAAAAGGTGATATGCAATGTGACTGCACCATCTACACACATTTCTCTTTTCAAAATGTGTGTTCACATTCCACACTTCATAATAGACAATTACTGAATCTTTAAGAGGGAATGCAAACAATTATGTTTACACTCTATCAAGATTAATTTAAATAGAATTATTAAAACCATACTGACATGTCAATTCCAGCAGCTCAGATCACCAATAAAAGAAACCAAGCATGCATTCAGAACAAGAGCAAAGCCCTGAGTGCGGATGTATGAAAGTCTCCACTGGCTGAAAGTGCTTTTATTGAGTCTGGGAAGCAATGGAAGAATTCTTTCTTTTCTCTCGCTGGTTTCCGTCTCTAATTATTCCCCAACTGAATCCCTCTTGGATGCTTTCAACACAATATAAATGAGTAATTGCCAAAACATCCATTAAAATGCTTCAGAAGGGGAGAGTATTGTGGCCAATTGCTGTAGAACAGCGGGACACTAGACAATGTCTCAATTTTGATGTGCCTTCAGTGGAAAACTTTAAGCTGGAATGTTCTTTAAGGAGGATATTTATAGGTTTTGGATTTATTCTTAGTTCCCTTCAGCTACTGCATGTGTCAGCTGTGGACTAAATGAAATGGCATCTACAAAATGTATGTACAAAATACCGCAACATTCTATAATTGTATGTTATAGATTTCTGGGGGATAGTTGTTTTCTGGAGGAACATTAATGTAAAAGCTCATTGCAACTTTCAGCCAGGTGTGTGTGTGTGTGTGTGTGTGTGTGTGTGTGTGTGGGGTGAAAAAGACGTGTGTGTGTGTGTGTGTGTGTGTGTGTGTGTGTGTGTGTGTGTGTGTGTGTGTGGGGAACAGGGTCACATCACAGGAGAGTGAACTGTCTTTCAGAAATCATAGCACGTCAGCTGTCTTAACCACGGCTTGTGTATTGCATCATTACTGTGTCTGTTCCCCTTTCGGGCTTGAATTGATGGTAAAACTAATAGCATTATTTACTGTCTTTACATTTATTTTGAAAGATGAATTGAAAAGATTATGGTAAGGGGCGTTACATTTCCGACGAGTGCTTGCGGTGTTCGGCCAATCACAATGCACTGGGTCAGCTGGCCAATCAGAGCAGACTGCGCTTGTCGGAAGGAGGGACTTTGTAGAAAACGAAGCGTTTGAGAGAGGCGGGGCATAGAGGACCTACAATAATGTACAGTATTTGAAAAATAATGTGTTTTTTGAACATTAAAGCATGTCAACATATTCTGTTACACCAAATACACAAAATAATGATCTTTAAAAAAGCATCATATGACCCCTTTAAGCGAATCTTGTATGGCTGACCTTTCAGGTCCAGATTTTTCGCTCCGTTGACCACCTGGCTGACAGACTTGGCGTCCACCTTTAGTGTGTGTGTGTTGCTGGCATCTCGAGTGATCACCACATTGTGCCACTGGTTGTCATTAAGAGGACTGTCGCTGTTTCCTTTGAGAAGACTCGGTCCATTTCCCAGGTCAAACACATAGTGAATATACCTGACAAACATACAAACAAACACACATACACACTGAGCTCAAATGTGTTCATGTCCCAAATCCATTCAAGTGCACTTCACTGAAGAACACTCAGCTAAAGCACACACTGAAGCAAACTCAGCTGATCAGCTGAGAGGCTCTCTATTAGATGACAATGAGAGTGGAAACTTGTTTTAAAGAGGAACAGGTTTTATGTTCTGCTAGAGGATAGGCCAAGTGGATCGATCTGTTTGGATGGACAAGGCTTCTACATTCACACCTGGGGCCCAGGTCAAGAAGCAGACAAACTGACTAAACCGACCGTCTGCTGGCCACCTCACGTCGCAGAAGTCAGTTAATTCTCAGCACACAGAGACTATTTCACCTAGATATGATACTATAGAGACTGTCTGTTCCCCGAACTAGCAAATACAAAACATGTCCAAACAAGATAAACAAATGATAAAGCTTGGCTTAAATAATACTAGATCCCTTTCTATGAAAGCACTTTTTTTTTAAATGATATGATCACATATCATAACCTAGATGTGCTCTGTTTGACAGAAACCTGGCTAAAACCAGAAGATTACATTACTTTAAATGAGTCTACCCCCAAGATTACTGTTATAAACATGAGCCACATCCAAAAGGTAAAGGGGGGCATGTTGCTACAATTTATAGTAATATTTTCAATATTTCTCAGAGGTCTGGTTTCAAGTATAATTTGTTTGAAGTAATGGTGCTTCATATAACATTATCTAGAGTAAAAAGCGTTAATGATAAATCCCCTGTGACGTTTGTACTGGCTACTGTATACAGGCCACCAGGGCACCATGCAGTCTTTATCAAATAATTTGCTGATTTTAGTTTTTTTGCTGAATTAGTCCTGACTGCAGATAAAGTCTTAATTGTTGGTGATTTTAATATCCATGTTGATAATGAAAAAGATGCATTGGGATCAGCATTTATAGACACTGAAATGGACTCTTTTTCTAGCACTTTAGATACATTAGCTCCTTTATGCTTAAAGAAGACTAAGGAAAACAGTCCGACATTGTGGTATGATGAGCACACTTGCGCCCTAAAGAAAGTTGCCCGGAAAATGGAGTGCAGCTGGAAGAAAACAATACTAGAGGTATTTCGTCTTGCATGGAGGGAAAGTACTTCTACTTTCAGAAAAGCTCTAAAAATCAGTAGATCTGCTTACTTTTCGTCTCTTTTAGAAGACAACAAACACAACCCCATGCATTTATTCAATTCAGTGGCTAAATGAATGACAAATAAAGCTTCAACAGGTGCAGACATTTCCCAAAAGCACAGCAATAATGACTTTATGAACTTCTTTACTTCCATGATCGAACTACAAATCCCCTGAGGAACAATTTCACTCATTATGTGCTATAGTAGAGGAAGAATTGTATAAACTTGTCAAATCATCAAAATCAACAACATGTATGTTAGACCCTATTCCATCTAAGCTACTAAAAGAGGTGCTTCCAGAAGTAATAGATCCTCTGTTATATTATTATATTATTATTATTATTATTATTATTATTATATTATCCTCTGTTATATTATTAATTCACCAGTGTCATTTGGATATGTACCAAAATCCTTCAAACTGGCTGTTATTAAGCATCTAATTTAAAAAACACAACTTGATCCTGGAGAATTAGTTAATTACAGACCTGTAATTGATCTCAAATCTCCATTTTCTGTCAAAGATACTAGAAAAGGCAGTAACCTCAGAACTATGTCCCTTCTTAGAGAGAAATTGAATCTGTGATGATTTCCAGTCAGGATTTAGACCTTATCATAGTACTGAGACTGCTCTCATCAGTTACAAATGACCTGAATTTATCATCTGATCGTGGTTGTATCTCTCTATTAGTGCTACTGGATTTTAGCGCTTCGGTTGACACTATCGACCACAACATTCTTTTGAATAGACTACAAAATTATGTTGGCATTAGTGGAATTGCATTGGCATGGTTCAAATCTTACTTATCTGACCATCATCAATTCATAACCGTGAATGAAGAGGTATCATATCAGTCACAAGTACAGTATGGAGTACCACAGGGCTCAGTACTAGTACCGCTGCTTTTCATGCTTTACATGTTACCCTTGGGAGATATCATCAGGAAACATGGTGATAGTTTTCACTGCTATGCTGATGACACTCAGCTCTATATTTCTTCGCAGCCTGATGAAACATACCCAGGATACATGGTGTTAACTTTCACTGTTATGCTGATGCTACTCAGCTCTATATTTCTTCGCGGCCTGACAAAACATACCAATTCGCAAAACTAAAAGAATGCATAGTTGATATAAAAAACTGGATGGCTAGTAATTTCCTACTGCTAAATTCTGAAAAAAAAAAAAAAAAATGGGGGTGTTAATTATTGGACCAAAAACCTCTGCATGTAATAACCTAAAACACTGTCTAACACTTGATGGCTGCTCTGTCAATTCTTCGTCATCAGTTAGGAACCTAGGTGTGCTATTTGAGAGCAATCTTTCTTTTGAAAACCATGTTTCTAGCATTTGTAAAACCACATTTTTCCATCTTAAAAATATATCTATATTATGACCTATGCTCTCAATGTCAAATGCAGAAACGTTAATTCATGCATTCATGACCTCAAGGTTAGATTATTGTAATGCTTTATTGGGTGGTTGCTCTGTGCGCTTAATAAACAAACTCCAGCTGGTCCAAATTGCAGCAGCTAGAGTTCTTACTAGAACCAGGAAGTATTACCATATTAGTGCAGTTCTGTCAACTCTGCACTGGCTCCCTATTGAACATTGTATACATTTTAAAATCTTGCTAATTACATATAAAGCCCTGAATGGTTTAGCTCCTCGATACTTGAGCAAGCTCTTATCACATTATATTCCTTCTCGTCCGCTGCGATCTCAAAACTCTGGCCATTTGATAATACTTAGAATATCAAAATTAACTTTTGCAGATCCTTTTCCTATTTAGCACCCAAACCCTGGAACAATACCTAGCGTTGTTCTGGAGGCAGACACACTCTGTCAGTTTAAATCTAGATTAAAGACCCATCTCTTTAACCTGACATATAATACACTATCACATTTCTATAATTCAAATCCATTTAAGGATTGTTAGGCTGCATTAATTAGGTCAACCGGAACTGGGAACACTTTCTATAACACCTGATGTACTCATTACATCGTAAGAAGAATGGCATCTACTATTAGTCTGTTTCATTCTCATTCTGAGGTCACTATAGCCACCCAGATCCAGTCCGTTTCCAGACCAGATGGTGGATCAGCACCTAGAGACAAACTCTACAGCCTGAATGTCAGCGGAGACCATGTCAACTAGAAGAGCCCCAGAGACAGATCCCATGCAAAGACTTTGTCAACTAGACGGCCATCAGGACAAGACTAAGGTAACCAGATGATCACTCTTCACAATCTGACTTGTATTGCAGCCTGGAATTTAAACACATCATGCTGGTTTCATCTAGCCAGAGGAGAACTGGCCCCCCAACTGAGCCTGGTTTCTCCCTGTTTTCTTTTTTTCCCCTCCATTTCTGTCACCAATGGAGTTTTGGTTCCTTTGGCCTTTGGCTTGCTTAGTCGGGAACACTAAAGTTCTGGCAATACTGTCAGCTTGATTGATCAAACACTATTGGAAGAGAGCTGAACTGGATGATGACATCACTGAATCAACAATGAACTGACTTTAACTGAAAAATTGACTGTTTTGTTATTGTCCTTTTGAATTACTGACAAACTATTCTCCTGTCTAACACTGTAAAGCTGCTTTGACACAATCTGTATTGTATAAAGCGCTATATAAAAAAAAAGGTGACTTGACTTGACAAGTGTGCTCCCAGCTACCAAGTATTTGGTTTCAGTACTTGTTTGTTTGTTTGTTTCATTTACCCTTAGTTTATACTAAGCATATAATGCTAGAATCATCTAATATTTGGCAAGGGTAAATGATCTGTTGTGGAAGAATTGTGTCAGCCTTACACAATATCTTACACTGAAGAAAACATAAAGAGTGAAATATTTAGCAGGAAATAATGGAGGATGGGACGCCATCTGGATTTGACTGAATAAATTGGGCTATGATCAGTATTATTTGATTTTACTGGGTCAACATTATTTTTCCTCTGCCTGCACAGTCCCGATTACACCACCAACAACAAAAAGCATTATTACACTTTAATAAAGATTGTCAAAACAAATCGATTGAATTGTGCACAACTGGACATAACTTCAAACATTTTACTTTACATTATGATTCTCTCCACATTAAAATTTGGTCTGAATTTCTTGCATTTTAAACATACCAGTATAACCTCTTTGGTATTCAGTAATAGATAATAAATGTTGTTTCTGAATGTATCAACATTAATGATAAATTAACATGTATATCAACATTAATAATAAAAATACAGCTTAATGGGGTTGGCTAATTCCAAAAATTAAAATAAATCGAATTCAAAACTCAATTTCAAACTTTGCATTTTTAAAATCTTATATTATGTTCTTATATTAAGTCTCGAGAAGCCTCTGGAAACTAAGGTAAAAATCTATGTAATAGAACATTTTCACAGTGCTTTTGTGTACTTGCATGTTGTTTCAAAGACACAATGGATCAAATGTTTTAAATCTGTTTTAAATTAGTGCTTGTTTTGGTCACCTTCAAGAGTATTATCACACGCTCATAATACTCAAAAAGATAATCACAAGTCGCCACCTGCTGGTGTGAACAGATTTAAAAGATTTGTGTCACTGGGATAAAACAAAATACCCAGTACAAGCTGTTCTACCCAAAAATGTAATGATGCAAATTACAGCAAGACTCTTAGTTAAGAAGTTCATTAATCAGTCAGAAAATCAGAATAAATTTTTTTGGTGAACATACCTGTATTCAAAAGATTTGCATTAATTGGAATAAATCAAATTCCCCACCATTAGCTGTTCAATGTATTCTGGGGTGTATAGTAGTTTGGTAATCTTGAAAATGAACACACTTATGGTGGACATGTCTCAGCCTGAGTGAAACTGACTTCCAACACCCCAGAATGGGCTCTATATGGGGTCAACTCCCAACCTTTCCTGTCAACCTCAATAAAATGGCCATTTGGTAAAACCTGGATTCTGTGGGAACTTTGTTGACTTGGAGCTCTCTACTTCCACTCACCCTTTGACAAGCTCCACGGCAATAAAATCATTCCCATCTCCACTGTTGAAGAGAATGAATCCATCACCCGAGGTAGTTTTGAACTGAAAGAAGAGGTGCATGGTGCTATAAGCCTGGAGTGTAGCAAGACCCAGATAGCTTCCTTTGGTCTTGAAGGTAACTGGATCGGCCACAATGGAGCGCATGCCAAAACGAGCATTGAGCTCGCAGAATTCGATGTCCCCATTCTTGCACATGTCAATGTAGAGGAGGCTGTTGAACTTTAGGCCTTGCAGGTGACCAATGAAGTTGGATGGAGCTGTGGAGGCAAACCGACGTTCTGTCAGGATTCCGGTCTCAATGTTACTAAACTCCAGCCGAGTGTGGTCACCATTCATCTGACCTGTGAAAGAAGAACAGGAGGTCATGGTAAAGTGATTAGTAAGTGATGGATTAATGCATTACATGGGGTCAGCTGCTGAAAAGCTGTTCTGAAAAGATTATACTGCATTCATACCTTCAGCTACATCATCATCCACCATGAGTTTGAGGTTTTTACCACGCCGCATCACTTTGACTGAGTGCCAATCATTGTCGTTCACTTTCTGGCCAGCATACAATGTCTCTGGTCCTTTACCTGAGAATGATGTGTGTCAGTTAGTGTTTACACACACTAGCCCTGCAAATCAAATTTCTGGCTTCTCAACATTTTAATAAATCATATCATGTGCAAAAAAATGTGGTTTAAATTTTCAAACTTCTGTCATCAAGATGATAGACGGCAAAAATGGTTTTACATATTATAATTGCGGTGCATCAATAGTTCCTAGGAAAATCAACATTTTTAAAAAACATGAAACAGAACTAAGGTTTGGCTGAGGTATATGTTGAATACTGTAGCTTATTCATACCACAGAAATGGTAAGTACACTAGTATGCTAGTAATTCATTCCAAACACAGTCGTGACATTTATTTTTTAAGGGTGCATTGTCATACAAATACTTAGTCTGCACTAACAGAAGTACCGGTTGAGAACACTGATTGTTGTACTAATTTACTGGTGCCATTAACATAACCTGCTCGAATATACTGAGTCTTTAAACTTCAAATTATAGAGCACGAGGCAAAGTGCCTCTCTAAAAGCATTGTAGAATTAAAATGGTTAATCAGTACTAAATTACCACTTACTTTTCAGCCATTCTGCTGTTAATTGAAGAACATGCTTAATAAACAAAAACCTTTAATTGACTCCAAAAAGCTACAGATGACTCTCTAAATGACCTGACCTGTGTGTGTATATACATCTAGAAAAGCAAGAGAGTATAGTTTTTATAGTTTAAAATGGTGAGGTATTACACCACATTATTAAAAGTCCCATCAGGATTTGATTTATACATTTGCCTTTCACCATCATTTATAGAGAAATACAAAGTCTTTTTATATCATTTATTGATAAATAAGAGTCACAGCCATATATAATTGGTGTGTGTGTGTGTGTGTGTGTGTGTGTGTGTGTGTGTGTTTTGTTTGAAATAAATGAACTTTTCCACGACATTCTAATTTATTGAGATGCACCTGTATCATTTAATTAGTTTCATCATACTGTCTTCAGTCTCCATTGTCACACAATCTTTCAGAAATCATTCTAATATGTTGTTTTGCTGCTCAGGAAAAATGTCTTATTGTTATCAATGTTGAAAACAGTTATGCCATGATATACTACTGTTCAAATATTTGGTGTGTGTGTGTGTGTGTGTGTGTGTGTGTGTGTGTCTGTGTTTTGCTTTTCTTTTAATCAACAAATCAATCACAAAAATAGGTATGTCTGTTAAGATATATAATAAATAAATAGCATACATATTTATAAATATAACCATGTAAAACATATTTAATGGTGTTAAATATATTTAATTACTATTGAATTAACAACATACAGCCCTTTATATACACAGGCTCACAGTCTTCTGTTGTAGTCAGGTAAGATGGTTCTATATTGTTAATTATTACTATTTTTAACTGAGTATTGTCAGTTCAGTGGCTATTACAATTTTTTTGAGTCAATTTTCAGAGTTTAAAATCACAGCATGGTCATGTGGTGCTACCTGTTACTTTTTTAGCCACTTATTCAGGATGGGCAAATCACTGTTGTTTGTAAATACTGGACCTTTATTATTATTATTATTATTATTATTATTATTATTATTATTATTATTATTATTATTATTATTATTATTATTATTATTATTATTATTATTATTATTATTATTATTATTATTATTATTATTATTATTATTATTATTATATAAATCATTATTATTATGTATATTATTATTATTATTATTATTATTATTATTATATAAATCATTATTATTATGTATATCAATTAGAATATAGATTGCTGGGATGAGCACACAAGTGCCCTCGAGGAAGACAGCTTTGATTCACACAGAAAACTGTTATCAAACTGTTACTTTAGTGGAGTGCAGCAGTAACCACCCACATTTTTTTTTTCATATTAATTTTCTCTATAGAGAAGAAAAACGTATTCAAAGTTGTGTCAAGTCATGAACCAAACCAATCAGCTCCAAAATTAATTACATTACAACATTTGATTTGAAGCAAACAAAGCAAGTGAAAATTATTAAAAATAAATAAATAAAAAAGGTGCAAGACTGTGTACACACAGAAATATGTAAGTATACTTATAGTAGAGTATATTGAATCAGAAACCATAGTACAATATAGGATAAAGACAAAATAAATACAAATATAATTAGATTAACAATATAGAAATTCTAACTTCAAATTTGCAATATGAGAGTAAACGGTCACAGCTGAGCCAAATTTTGCAGCAATTTCCTTTTGATGTTAACTACAATTTATCAGAATAATTTGTTACTGAATTTGAAATCACACGGATTTGTGGCTTCTACAGAAGCATATTTCAAAATGTAACATCCTCAGAGCTTATGGTAGATCTGTATTCATTTGACTAAAATCATTTATCTTTGGAGAAAAGGAATGGGATTTTACTTCTGGAACCTGAATCAATAATAATAATAATTATTTAATAATTATTATAATATATACTAATAATAATAATTTAAAATAGTCATGAAATCTTAACCTTACAAATCTCTGATGAAGAAGGGACTTTTAGATGAGTAAAAGCAGTTATACTTTTTCAGAGGAGCATCACAACATTTTTAAAACAGCATTATTTAAAAATGCTTAAATATTAACATTTAACAGCTTGTAAAACATGGACAAGGATCAAATGTTTGGACTTTATCCTTATTTATCATCCTTGTCCTTAAAAAACCCTTTGATTTAAAGGCTTAGGCTTAAATGAAATGCAAACACTAAAACTGAAATTTAAAATTTAAGAAAATTAGAGTGGTGAATTAAAAATTTCGAGCACATATGAGAAGTCATTCAGTGCTGTTTAAAAGCATCTTAAGGCAGGAATACACTACATGATTTTTGCCCAGATTTTCCCTCGATTTACAGTTTGGATAATTCGACACTATAGTTGCCAAAATTCAGAGCCAGTCTGCAGACTTGAGTTGACAGATTTTATAGAAAATCAGGTAATGCATGATGGTCACAGACTCCGATTTTTTTTTTAGCTTCAGACTATGATTACATCCCGTCGGAGGATATCATAGATGTTCGATATTTTCAGCAGATTTTAGGACGCATATTCAGTGTTGCCAACTTAGCGACTCTGTGAATATTGCAAAGTCGGTAAGTGTATGATGCCCAGTGTTTTAAAATATGTTCTGATTTTAAAAGTCGTGTCGTGTATTCCAGCCTTTAGGATGCACCTCTTAGAGCTTGCTAATAGTGTTCAGAAGAATGTTCAGAGCTGTAATCTAGGCAGAGTGATGACTTAGAAGAAATTCAATTATAAAATAGTTTTGATTTATTTAACATTTGCCGTACTTCTATTTTTGTTATTTCATAGCTTGATGACTTTACTGTTAATCTAACCCAGGGTTTCCCTAATGGGGGTTAGCAAACCCTTGGGGGTCCGTGAAGGAACTGCAGGGAGTTCGTGAGTATATGAAAAGCTAATATTTAGATTTAAAGGGGTCATATGATGCGATTTCAAGTTTTCCTTTCTCTTTTTAAGTGTTACAAGCTGTTCGTCAATAGATAAGATCCTTAAAGTTGCAAAGACTAAAGTCTCAAACCCAAAAAGATATTATTTATAAAAGTTAAGACTCGTCCACGCCCTCCTAAAACGCCTCATTCAAACACGCCCCCACATGTCTACGTCACGATATGGGAAGATTTGCATAACACCGCCCAAATGTATACGCAAAGAAAGAAGGTGTAACTTTGACTCTCGCTGTAGTATTGTTGCCGCCGCCACCATGTGTTTCGTTGTGAAAGTGAAACTACTTTGTTTGGCCTTCCAAAAGAGGACACAACTAGAAATCAGTGGATAAGTTGTATTTACAACACTGTTCCAGAACAGTTCAAACCAAATATTCAGATGTGTGCAACGCATTTTACGGAGGACGAGGACTGTTTCTTGGGAGAGCAGCCTACAATGCAGGTGTTCCGGTGAATTCAGTTCCCCTGTTTCCCCTTCAGCGCGCATGCTAACCCTATACAGTCTATGATGCTGACAAATAATGCTGACTCACAGCCTGTAAGTACGTTTTCATATTTAAAGGATTTGCCACTGATGATTCAAACGCGAGTTTTGAGCAGTGTAGAGTAGCACTTGTTATTTGTCGTTTCTCCGATCACAAATGCAGACATGGTTTTATGTTTACGCGGCGTGATGCAACGCAACGCGTAAAAAGACAGTATAAGTAATTATATAATGGGTTTTATTGGTTTTGTCTCGTCGCTCTGGCTGGACAAGGCATCACAGTATGGTAAGGGGTGTAACATTTCAGTCACACGCTTGAGGAATTCGGCCAATCACAACGCACTGGATAGCTGGCCAATCACAGCACACCTTGCTTTTCAGACCGATGAGCTTTGTAAAAATCGACGCGTTTCAGAAAGGCGGGGCATAGAGGAGAAACAATAATGTACAGTATGTGGAAAATAATGAGTTTTTTAACCTTAAACCACATAAACACATTTCATTACACCAAATACACAAAATAATGTTCTTTTAGCAATGTCATATGACCCCTTTAATTGAATATTAAAATCAATAAATCAAATTATAATCTATAGCTTATAGTGATGTGTCAAATCTTGATGCGGTTATCAGATCAAAGGCTGCAATTTAATTAATTAAGTACTGTCATTAACTGCTTCTCACAAACTCCATGTCTGTATGAGCAGTGAGTTTAATGAGTATTGGGGATGTATTTTCAACGTAGTGCACAGATGTTTACAGCATTTCACCAGCAACCCACCAGTATAAAAGCTCAAAGATTTGAAAGTGAAGAATTTAAAACATAAATTAAAACGTATTGTAATTATACTATTGTAAACTCATTGTTAAGCCTACAATTATCAAATATCATTTAAAGAAATTAATTGATTGAATTTATAATTTGCATTAGTAAATATTCTATCTGTCTTACCTGTCATGTGACCACTAACCGAAATTAGAGAACCATGAACATGCAAAAGTGTTGTTTAACTATTGAAATAATAACTGAAGTAAAAAAAATTTGGCTGACAAGAACCCCTTATCTACTCTAATAAAAATAATAATAAAAAATGGGTAGAATGAGTCCAAACGTTTATCTGGTAGTATAGGTTAGCAACACTGTTTAAGAAATAAGCTAAAACTTTGACCATCTGTGGGAAATAAACATCAATTTCATTAGCTAATGTCTGTGTTTATGTAGAACAAACTGAGTAAAAACTTACTGGTGTTACAGTTTATCCTGCCACAGTCTAGATGGGGAAGAACAAGTGACAGATGAAATCGCGTCCTTCAAGGATACAGCTGCAGACATCCAACAACAGAAACACCACCTTCCGGGGATGAGCACATGGAGCAGCAGCCATTTTGGATCATTTCCAACATCCGTTTTATCATTCCGGCCAGTATGTTTGATATGATATATCTTTTTTTTTTGTAGATTTTATTATATATGTAGATTTATATTTTTAGTATTTAATTTATATAGTAGTAATCCATATAAAATGGCTGCCTGCTCTAAGCCAAAAGGATTCATCAACTTCGGTATTCTTTATCTTTCTTTCTTTTCTTTTTTCTTTTATGAATTATTATCTCATTGGTCAAGGCACGAACTGTATGCATTTCACAGAGAACTGCAGATTTTCTTATGACAATTGGAACTGTCATCCAGGTTGGAATCCATATGGCCATTTTTATCATGTGCCATCAACCGCAACAGAAAAGTGGGAGCAAACAGCCTTGGTCCAAAATGCATTAGCACCACACAGACTTGTAGCATGTACTTCATAAAAAAAAAAAACAGACAGACTGAATGTTCTGATTGTTATTTATGCTAAGTGCATAAATGGAAAATGTCACATTTTAGCACTGAAACTGCAACTAATAAAATAATTTAGTAAATTGAAGTTATTGAATTTACTGAAATCACTATCATATTAATGTTGCAACATGTATAAGATGCTGATCATCTGGCCCTTTCTTGTGACATAGTGAGCTTATGGTTTGATATTAGTAAAAATGACTGTGTGTGTTTTGTGGGTGATGCTTTGGCCACCAGCTGCAGGTGTGCTGGATGCTCTGGTCTCAGGCTGTTTGCTTACAGGGCCGCAGGCTAAAGGCCATTGAAGGGGTGAGTACCATCTTTGAACAAGGCATGATAAATGCCGTTAAGAGCGAGGGATGGGAATGGGTAGATATTTTCCTGATAACGTGACAAAAATAGTTATACAGAAAGATGCATAACTGATTGTTAAACCCATCTTACCATATGAACAGAGCAGACACAAATACAGAAAAAATATCACAAAGAAACAGTCCTGTTCATAGCATATAATCTAGGGCTGGTGGTACATTAAACTGTCATGTATGATTTTTTTTAAGTAAATCAATTGCCATGTATGAGAATGACTGGTGCAGATGTGGTGCTTCGATCATGAGGTCAGAGGTTACGTGAGACAATGATGAGAGAGCTCATCTGTCCACATCACCCGCAGACAAAGCAAGAGAATGAAAAGCAAACAGGAGCAATCCATGCAGATCAACAAAACAATAATAATTTAGCTGTAGTGTTAGAAAGATGATAACATCCAGTAACTGGCAAATTTAAGAAATAACCCGAAGACGACGAGGAAAAGAGGGACAGAGATAGAAATATGGCAGAATACGATACCTAAATTGACGGTCAGTTTGACACGGCCGCTGTCCAGTTCTAGTCGTAGTGTGTCTGCGGACTCACGTGATGTGGCAGCCATCAACAGGCCAAAGGCACGCTGGGACATAAACCTCAGAGACACATCCTCTGCTTCTGTATGTATTACCGTCGGCATCACCACCTTCATATACATACTGCCATCGTAGCTTAGGATAGATGCCTCTGTATAGAAAACAGACACACAAAACACATAAAAAATATTAAACCTAGACCTCAAAAATAGTACTTTCACTGGACCTATTTACAATTCAAATGTGTTCAATGAGTCCTTCACACTGAGTTCAAAATATCAAACTCCAACCAGATGAGAAAAGTTTTGATATGAAAACAGCCTTATGAATGTGTTTCATGTTATTCAGTCACATCACAAATTGTTTAGTGGCTTTTACACATTTTAAGAACAAGCAACATATTATAAAATATACATATACAGTTGTGTTTGTAATGAAAATGGGCCAGAGTACTATAGAGAACAATTTACAGATCAAAAGTGGGTGGAAAATTGTCATGAAAAATGAAATGATGACATTAAATAACTAAAAAAGACTAAAACATATATGACCCCTTTAACAGAAATTAAATGCACACACACACACACACACACACACACACACACACACAGACACACACAGACACACACACACACACACACACACACACACACACAGCAAAGTCCTCCAATCACACACACACACACACACACACACACACACACAGCAAAGTCCTCCAATCTTCCTTTACTAGTACTGTAGTGGAACAAATACATTGCATCGTTTTAAATGCCCTTCTTAATTGGTCTTATAACATGCTACAGATGTCTTAATTCAACACTATCACATATATCCCTTTCTAGGGAACTCCACACTGCGTCCCCTAGGGGACACAATCGGGAATGCCATCAGCATGGCCGGTGTCTAAAGCATGTGGGAAACACTTCCAAATCTTAGGATCACGCAGCCCGTGACATCATTACCAGAGTGCCCAGAGTATAAAAGGGCACCTGTAATGCACGTCATCAGCTTTTTTGTCTTCAGAAGCCGTTTGTTTGTTCAGCGTGTGTGAAGCACTATGGAGAGCAAAAAGCAGAGCGAGCATTTTAGGAAATGTGTGCCTCCGTGTCCGAGATATTTGACACCTGAGGACACACATGACCTTTACGTTACGTTTCTCTGCGACGAGCACACGAGCACTGAACGCATTCATTGCGATTAATTTCCAATGAGGAAGCTCCGCTCTCGCCTGTCCCTATTCACGTGGGATGCAGGACATCTCACAGCTCAGGTCCCACTGCTGCCGAGGCACGGCAGAAACTCGCGTTGTGGGGATCGCAGGTGGAGCTTGCGGAGAAGCTTGAAATGGAACTGGATCTCTCTGGCTTTGCATACTATGGCGGTGCTGCAATCCTACCAGGCAGATCTGCTTAAGGATTTGGATGAAGGTAAGGGTTTGCCTCCTGAGGCGGTTGAAGAGCTGCACCACACTACAGATTTAGCTCACCGTGCCACTAAGCAGACAGTTGCCGCTACAGGGCGAGCAATGGCGGCAATGATGGCCATGGAGAGACATCTGTGTTTGAACTTAGCGGGATATTGGGAGGAAAGAGAAAAACATTCTTCTCAATGCTCCACTTTCACCCTCTGGGATTTTTGGCACATCCGTTATGACAGTGGTCGAGAAGTTCAGGGAAGCGAGGGCACAATCAGCTTTTGATAATACCTAAAATATCAAAATCAACTGCGGGCGGCAGATCCTTTTCCTATTTAGCTTTTCCTATTCAGTTTAAATCTAGATTAAAGACCTATCTCTTTAACTTGGCATACACGTAATACACAATCGCATTTCTATAATTCAAATCAGTTCAAGGATTGTTAGGCTGCATTTATTAGGTCAACCAGAACCGGGAACACTTCCCATAACACCCAATGTACTCACCACATCGTAAGAAGAATGGCATCTACGCTAATATTAGTCTCTTGCATTCTTATTCCGAGGTCACCGTAGCCATACGGATCCAGTCTGTATCCAGTCCAGATGGTGGATCAGCACCTAAAGACGACCTCTACAGCCCTGGATGTCAGCGGAGACCATATCAACTAGATGCGCCCTAGAGACAGATCCCCTGTGAAGACCTCATTACCTCGACGACCATCGGCACAAGACCACGGGAACCAGACAATTCCTCTGCACAATCTGACCTGTGTTGCAGCCTGGAATTAAACCACGCCATTCTGGTTTTGTCTGGCCAGAAGAGAACTGGCCCCCCCGACTGAGCCTGGTTTCTCCTAAGGTTTTTTTCTCCATTTCTGTCACCGATGGAGTTTTGGTTCCTTGCCACTGTTGCCTTTGGCTTGCTTAGTTGGGGACACTTAACTGATTGTACAGACACTATTGGAAGAGAACTGAACTGGATGATAACATCACTGAACCATCAATGAACTGACCTTAGCTGGAAAAATGACTCTGTTATTGTCTTCTTGCATCATTGACAAACTATGTTCTTGTTTAACACTGTAAAGCTGCTTTGACACAACCGGTATTGTATAAAGTGCTATACAAATAAAGGTGACTTGACTTGACTTTCAGGAGATACATTGCCCTCCGAACCAGATCCCCTCCTGGAGCCTCTGAGGGGACAGAAAATTTGCGTTGCCTCTCGTGCTCCTCCCCCATCCCAGTTTCACGAGTTCCCACTTACATATAATTGGATTGAGCAAATAGTAAGCATATTTGGCGTGCTGTCCTGAGGGAGGGCTCCGAGCTCGGAATATAGCCCGAACCTAGAGAACTCCCCCATCCACAATATGGGATGAGAATAGTTTTAGAGTGAGGAGTTGGGGTGGAGGAGGGATGCCGGAAAACTGTCGTGAGACAGAGGTAAGTTTGCTGTATATATATATATATATATACATATTGTGCTAGTTAAGATGATTAACTAACGAGTTCCACCTGTGCCGAATTGGTTGATTATCTGATCGTGCTCCTCCCGAACCTTGTTAATAAAACATCATGTAGAGCACAGAGGAAGCGCGATGCTAAGAGGATGAGGGGAGACCTCAGAGAGGTGATTGACAGGCAGCAGTCTAACGTCTCTCTTTGATGTCTCTCCTGAGCACCCCACCCCTCGGTGTGTTACTTATGTTTTTGGTGAGCTTTACGTATATTGGCAAACCACCTGCTGATGGTCCGGTCTCTCCTCCTTGAGCTGTGAGCAGGGTTTACCTCACCGCCTTAGGGTTTCAAAGTAGGGCAGTTCTCCTTTTTATGTGTGGGCGGTCTCCCCTGATCTCAGGTTATTTCCAAGCAGGCGGTCCCCTGAACTCCCCATACTTTGGGCTGGCTCCCCTACATCAGGGTTTTAAGCAGATGGCCCATTGTTTCTAGATGCATTACTGTTTGAGGACAGTTATGTTCACATCTTGGCTGAATGGGATGTCCCTCCTTTATATTTTGGCTGGGTTGCCCCATTTCCCCCCAGTTATTCAGCTTTATTGGCGTGCCCCCTTTAAATCGGTGCATGTTTGCCATTTCTTTGGTGCTCTCTCACCAGGTGGTCAGGCATACACCGAGGCATGGCGTAGTGGGTATTTTGTTCCCCATTGTGTCTCCTAGGGGATGCAGTGTGGAGTTCCCTAGAAGGGGAAGGTCTCGAGTTACGCATGTAACCATGGTTCCCCGAGAGGGAACGAGACACTGTGTCCCACCACTCCTAGGGCCTGCCTATTGGTTCCTCTCGGGGAACCATGGTTACATGCATAACTTGAGACGATCTATCTATATTTATTTATTGCCATCTGCTCCATCTATCACAACAAGTTTCTTGTCTGATTACAGAGGTGCTCCTCTGTCACACACAAGGGACATTTGTAACAAAGTCTTTCATTTGCAGCCCCATAAGAGGCCAAAACGATACAGAACAGAGCTGAGAGGGGATTATAGGAAAATTTATTAAAAAAGGCAACCAGTCGTGAAATACCTGCCTCGAGTTTTAGAGGTGAACAAAGAAGAATGTGCTTCTGGCTGAAAGAGGAGCTGACTGCCTTTGTGTAATGATGGAGGAGTCTGCATTTAACGCATGAGTCATTGTGTTGAAAATAATGTGCATTACATGCATATATAGCTGTCATGTAATATGTGATAGGACACCTTAAACATCATCATTCAGGCAGGTGGCACAAAAAAAGGAGAGGAATGTGACATTAGCAATATTAAAACATCATTACTTCAGGCTATAAGTGTTCATTATTTTGCAGTTATGAGCTGTTACAGAAATATTTAATTTATATGCAACTTAGACAGACAGACAATCAATCAATCAATCAATCAATACATAGAAAAATAAATAAATCTATTCTATCATCATTTACTTACTCTCATGTCCAAACCTCTATGACTTGCTCTGTTCTAATGTAATTTTGTACCACACTGATTTTCATTTACAAAAAAAAAATAAATAAATAAAATTATACATGTTTGGAAAGTCATATGGGTTGAGATCAACTTGATGATAAGTACTTAATTTTTTGGCTGAACTGAAAAGTGTCAAGTTGTATAATTTCTACATCAACAATTTCTCCACACTGAATTATTATTATTATGATTATTATTCATTTATCTAGTTGTTAAATCAATTTTTCTCTATTTCGTGTGTTTTATAGCTTAAAGAATTAGTTAAATGCTGTTGAAAATAGTTTCAGATGGTGTATGGCATGTCACCACAAAACATGCAAACTTTTCAAATGTATATAATGTAAAGTATTTAATACCCACCCTTACGCATCACACAATTAATTATCTGTTCCATGTAACAGTGGTTTAGGGATTGTGTCCCTTCTTGGCATCCTGGAATGGATATCATGCAAAAGTTACCAGTTCATTGTCATAGTATGAGTTGAAATTTTGGATATACATATTATACATTACTTGCACAGAAAATGCTGATAAGCCACTCTCTCATGCCAGTTAAGCAAATGTGTGATTTTCTAGTCCTTATGTTTTAGAAAATGTAACATTCAGCTTAAATTGTATTAAATTATAGTATGTATTAAATTGTAAACAAGAATATATATTCAGGCACGTTCATATCTTAAGTTAGTTCTGGAAAATAGTGAAAAGGTTTTTTATTTGATCTCCAAAATGACAGTTAATAAACAATCAGGATCCTT